TCACTAAGTTACTTGATCATTTCGTGAAATTGCAAAATTTTCAATGTCCAAAATTCAAAATGTAAAGAAAAAAAAAAAAACTAATGGTCGATTGAATCACCAATCACTTGACAGTTTCGATATAACTTGAAATTGGAAGACTGCGAAGGGGAAAAATCCATTTGCCAATTCGCTAATATTATCAGTTATCAAATCATTGCGCAAAAGGACTATATAGGATCAGCAAATTGAATCCCCGACGCTCCGGTTACTTCAGATAATGTTTCTTCCTCGTGGACGATCTTATGCAAGGCGCTTCGTTGCCTTTGGAACTCGCAGAATCCTTCCACGTGCTCCTGGTAGGCGTCACAGGGTCACTGAACCTCGTTTTGGCAAGAGAAGTCTTCTGATTCTGATCCTGTTCGATATCTCCCTCGAAGAATCGGCACATCTCCCGGACTGGAACGGCCCTGGCCCCTCTGTTGAGATCGTGAAGCGATCTGGCGCGTTGTTTCCCTCTGGGGCTCGGTTTTGAGGACGATCGACCAAGATCCTCCGTGCTCCTAGCCAGTCGACCACCTAGCCTGCTCAGAGACTCGAACAAAGTCAGTTTCTCTCGCACTGGCACGTAATGGTCCACCCTCTGACACCGTTCCAGCAATCTGGCCACGTCTTCCTCGCACGGTGGCTCCGTCACGACCGACAGAGAGGTGGACGACCTGGGCAGAGCCGTTGAATTGCAATTCTCCGCGAGTTTCGAGTTCTGCGACGTTTGTCGAGGCACGGGAATCCTCGAGGATAATTGGGCCAGTCGTTCCTTACGTTCCTGAAGCGTCTCAACGGCGGTATTGCTGAATTGCTGCGTTTGGAGCAATTGGCCCTTCTCTCTCATGCTTCTCCTTTCTCGCGCGCGACTTCTTCTCTCCGTCATGTCGGTTCTAAGTATTCCAAGACTGGCGTTACCGTTTCTAGGACTGTTGTTGTTCCTCTTGTCGTCCTCGTTCCTGTGATCGTCTTCGAATCTAACCAACGACGACTCGTTGGGTTTCACCGGGGGCAATCTGCTGACGATGTTCTTCTCGTTCTTCAGCCTAGATGTCTCGTAGCCATTGTTGTCGCGATCCTTCTTCGTTGGTGTTAGACAGTAACTGTCGTTGTCGTTGCCGGAATAGAACCTGCTCCTTGATCTGCTCGAGCCGTACGTCTTGAGGATGTCGTTGTTGTTCTCTTCGGCTCTAGCCTTTCGTCTCCTGGCGTCTTCTTCCAATACCCTTCTGCTTCGAGCTTCGTTCTCTCGTCTCCTAGCTTCTTTGTACCTCTGAATTCTCTGCTCTCTGGTCTCTGGCTCGGGGATAGACACGGCAGAGTCTACGGAATCCACGCTGGAACGACAGACTCCGCTCCAGGGAAGGCTGTCGTCGCTTCCTTCGCTACTCTCGCTGCAGCCCCAGGTCCTGGTCATCGGTTGGTCCTTTGTTATTATCGTTGGAATACTTCGAAAGTCGCCTAAGAGGTCATCGTCGCTCGAGTTGCTGCTCGACCAACCCCGTAATTCGCTCCTCGCTCTTCTTCTGGATTCTTCCAGGATCGTCGTGCTTGTTCTCGGGTCTTTCTCCGTGGGAGAGTCACCAGGCCAGCAGCGTAACTCGCTTCTGGAACGTCTTCTAGATTCCGTGGGGCTGTCCGGTAATGGCACGGGCCCCCTCGGACAAATTGTCAGGATCTCTAAGAAGTTTAGACAGCGTTGAGCTCGGAATGGCGTTTGCCTGACCAGTTCTGCCGCGATTGCTCTCACCCACGACCAATAGACGGGCTCCGAATCTGCCTGTGTTGACAAAAACATACATCTTTTCTTAACAAATATTGAACTATTAAATATTAGATAGGTTTTGGAAATAGGTTGTTTCGCGATGTTGTTTGAATATTGTTAATATCATCATACAAAATATCCAATTCTGTACGTTTTCGTGAGTTATATGAAAGAAGAATTCTCAGCTTTGAATATATCTACAAAAATGATGATATAAAAATTTTTAATTAACGAGACTTGTTACTATATATATTCTAAATATCTTTCATCGACAGCTGTTTTTTTTATCAAATTCTATACACAATCGATTTTCGTAGTAACGAAAATCTTTGTCGTCACACGAAAGTACAA